CCGATTCCCTGCAGAGATGGGATCAGTGGCATTAGTGTGGGCCTGGCATTTGCATACAGCGATCTCTAAGGGCAACATTACAGCTTTCAGCAGACGTTCAACCTGTGTGGAATTAAGAATTGGTTTACCATCAGATTTCATAAAATTGCGGTGTTTCCACAGTGCTTCCCAGTCGTGCACCACAGAGAAACCATAGCGCGTATCACATAATATGTTAACAGTTTTGCCCGCTGCCAGCTCACACGCCCCGGTGGGCGCGACCAGCTCAGAGGTTTGTGCTGAGTGGTAGTGGGGCAAACTACCAGAGTCTATAGTATCAAAATCAGAACACACAGCATAGCCGACTCGGTTCTTCCCAGTGTTGTCACGTGACGCCGCTCCGTCTGTATAAAAAAAATCAAGTCAGGATTAGTCAGAGGTACCTCTTTCAGGTCTGGCCTGGGAGTGCATCTCTGCTCTATTGTGGCGATACAGCAGTGTTCCTCCCCTTCCTCTGGCGTGGGCAGCAGCGAGGAGGAGTTCAGCTGTGTGCATTCCTTCATCGTAGTTCAAAGAGCACCGTGTTGTACCCCAGCCAACGAGCCGCAGAAAGGCGAGAGGCCCTCTGCTCTAACAGGATCAGGGAAACAGCATGGGGCACAAGCAAAGTTAGTTCAGTGTATCCCACAAGGTCACGTGATGCTAGGGCCGCTTTCTCAGCGGCAGCCACAGCCCGCAGGCAGCGAGGCAACCCTGCTGCCACGGGATCGAGTTTTGCTGAGAAGTAAAGCAGTGGGTCTCAGTGGCCCTCAGTGAGGCTGCAAAAGTACCGACTGTTCCGTTCATCTCCAGTTGCTTTTCTCCCGGATCGTCCTCAATTCATATTGTGGGCTTTTGTGCCAAAGTGGAGGCTCATTTCCTCCTGATCCATACTACTGTCATCCCTGGAGCAGGGGTAGTTTATCTCTCATCTGAAAAAGAAATATCAGAACACAAAAAAAAACACAAAAAATGCCCACTTTCGCTTGTCAATCTTTTTCCCAATTGGGCAAAACATAACTGCATTGACAGGTGGTGTGTGGCATCAGGGCGGAGGCTGTAGCAAAATACAGACTTAACAAAATGTATGTTTCTAATTTTATACTTCCCTAAATGTGAGTTTACAAACCAAGTTGTCCTTCAACCAACGACAGCTCACTGCGGTTGGACTGTGTCGCTGTCAGGACGAACAGCAGAGGCAGGAACTCCCAATATCTTCAGCGAGGTATTTCATCTCCGAGTACTTTCAGCAGAGTACTTTTCTCAGAGTACTCATCCCAGAGTACTCTCACTTTTACACCTGTTCAATAAAGCTTGTTATCTTTGAATCTCTAGTACTTACACCGTATGCTGTTGACAAAAAATAATTATTCCATGACCACATTAAAACATTACAGACACATTTGTTATTCCATGATTCCGTTCAGCATTCCTCATTTCACACATCACACTCATATCACAGTCATATCACAGTCACATCACAGTCACATCACAGGCCGATTTCCCACGTTAGTATTTTGGTCCAGTTTGTTAAGGTCAGCGTAGTGTACTTTGACATGACACACAAACATATAACATACACAAAACATATAACACACAAACATGTAACACACACAAACACATAGACAACACAGAAGGCCTGTAATTTTAACTTTGTTATATTTTCCATGTCCAATTACAATTGTCTCATGAGCTATTCCTACTGTTGCAACTTCCAGAGCCTGCAGAACATGCAAGCTTTTTAAGAGATTTTTCCTAAAAAAAAAGAAATCCATTTCCAACTTTAGTGTTTACCACGTGGTCTGTATTTCGGGCTTATCACAAATGGTGTCCCCTATATCTCTAATGAGCTCTTGTTACGAAAATGTAGCTTAACGGTTTTATAATAACTTCACTTACAATGACACTATGCACCTTTCAAATAACTTAAATCACACAAACAAGGCCCATCGCAAATATATCAATCCTATTAAACACATGCATTATTTACATGAAATATCACATTTTTAAAACTGATGACTCAAAATAGAAATGTTGTAACAGACAGTCTTTTCCAAAAGCCTCCTCGGGTTTTCATGCTTGTTCTTCCAACTGTGCCTGAGTAACTGTGCTGTAGTACAACGCTCGGTCCAGCTGGTGGCGCTAATACTAACTTCAGTGGCTCCCGCATTGTGCGAGCTTCCTGTTTACATTCTGATGCTGTAGCTAACAGCTACTGTAGCAGCTACTGTAGCTAACAGCTAGCGGGGAACACGTTGTTTGTATCAGAGCAATAAGAGACGTGTCTTTCCCCAAAGTGCAGCGGCTCAGTGGGACACGAGTGTGTGTTCTGGCGATTTAAATAAAGTCTGATTCTTGACCGTTTGAAGTGTTATTGCAACAGCACCAACTGTGAGAGCGCGCATCAGGCCAGAGGGAGCCTGTTAGCATTAGGTTAGCTTCAAAATGACTGCTCAACACCATAGACCCGCGGTTAGCGCGTTAGCGCTGTAGTTCTGCGATGGAGAAAATAAAAAAATCGAATTTTAAAAGAAAAGAAATCGCCCTAAATGTAAAACTCGAATTAATGATTAAAATCGATTAATTGCCCAGCCCTAACTGAAGCCATGAGTTTTGTGAAGCGACCACTCACTTGAGAACGGACCAAAATCTGTCACCTTATGTTTTGTTTTTAAACACAGGATTTGTTGTAATCATCCAGAATTTTAACTGTTACACCACAGATTGTTAGCGTATATTACGGGAATTCAGCATGAATTATCTCTAAAAAGTGCCAATTGCAATTTGTTGTTGTTCAAACTTACATGAGCGGCCGCTTTGGTGACGAATGTGAACCCGGGTTTGATCAGTCGCTCGTGTTTCCTCCGTGCCCGCCTCTGCCGTCCTCTGGCCCCGTGTTAGCTTGAGCGTTCCTCTGCCTTTAACGCCTCCTCCGGTAACAGTCCTTCGACCCATGTCGAGCACACAGTCTTTCCGCCGGGCTGTGGAAGTTTTTCAAAGTCCGCAGGAGGCCCAGGTAGCCCAAAGCGTTAGCATGTGGTCCATGAGGGTTGGTGAATGACCCAAACGTGCCGTACTTTTGGCTTCTTCTGTTTGCGGTGCGGGAACAACTTTCAAGCGGGTTTCCGCGGGTGCGTTTGGTATATCACGCTGCCCCCTCCGTGGAGAACAGTCACGGGATTTGGAGCAGTTTCTCTCTGTGCTCCAAAGCAGTTGTCGGTGTCTCACATATTTGTTTCCCTCGCTTCTTCTTCTGTGGTTTCCTGAGCGTGTGTCTGTTTCCGCCTCTTCTTCTTCTGCGGTTTGGGCCCACTTCTCGCGGGGTCTCAGCTGGTGCGAGCGCCGCCTGTGGTTGGGGCGTGGGGCTGGTGCTTTGAGGCAGAGGACAGTGCGCGGAGGAAAGGCGCCGACAGACCTGGATAAGGGAGAGGGAAAAGAGACAACAGTAGTCTGCTTCATTTTTTAAAAACCCAACGCCTCGTTTGGGCGCGTACTTAGCATGGAGTTCTGCTCCTAGTGTGAAAGGGTTAGTAGGTGAGAGAGGGCGTGTGTGTGTGCGCCTGTGTGTTCTCCGCTTAGGTGAAAAGCGGAGGAGCTATTGTTTTTACATATTTCTTTCTCTAACCTCTTTTGCCGTGATATTCTTAAAACCAAGTATATTTTTTTTTTTTTCTTCTAAATTATCACGCAGATGACCTGCACCATAGGCAAGCACTTCATAGCTTGCATCTTCTAGATTGTTTTTTACCCATTTTCTCGTACGAACAATGGGCCTAACCCGCTTAGTCTCTCCCTGCTCCTACCCACTTTGGGGCGCTCCATTCCCCCCGCGCTGGTTCAACCAGCGAGCGCGCGTTCTTGAAATGGAGCGGGTCTGGCTGAAGACACTTGGAGAAATTTTCAGGGTCGCCTACAGGACGATACTAACGCGCAGCCGCTAGTTTTCAATCTAGAACAAAAAGCCCCCCAAAAAATCCCGCACACAGACTATGCTGTGGCAATGAATGAAATACCCCAAAAATACATAAATAAACAAATCCCCGTGTACACTTAAGTGCTGCCCTGGGCTCGTTACGCAGATGAAAAGACAAGACTCACCAGATTAGGTTCTTTTTGGTCTTGTGTGGCAAAAGGATTCCTTCCGTGCGCGGACGAGCGCGCTCTCCTTTGTCTCCAAAAAGGAACAGAGGCTGGTGATCCAGGTCGGCCAAACAAAGCCGCTCGTTCCCGCCGAAAGTATCCCATGCCAAGACATGTCAGCAACGCCAAATTGTTATAGAAATGTATACCCCATGAAGGAGAAAACTCAAAGGTCCTTTGTCTGATCAAAAGCGTAAGTTTATTGTTAACGCACAGTGCGGAGAGTCAGCATATGCACACAAAGGCAGCATGCTCAGCTCTGGGGC